TTGGATTATCTTCTTTACTTGAGGATCACTATCAAGAATAATGTAAACAATTCGACAGAAATGGAAAATTTTCTCGCTTTGAATATTTTGTCTGAGTATACATTTAGGTAGATAGAGGTGACGATGAATATATACATGGTCATACTTTTATAACACTACGAAAACTTGTAGCAGTTCTTCGTCGCATGTCAAATTAACAAAAGTTAACACTATGCTCACGTATTCGTCGGCCAAATGCTTTTATTAATGATAATTGTCTTAATAATAAAATTTCTTGTCATGTGTCGCGTCTTCATGAATTCGCGTCGGATATTATTAGTGATGAGACGCCAATTCATGTTTACCCTGAAGTGTCAGCGGACGGTGCTCGGCGCACATTTGTAGAAAATGGATATTGCATTGACTGCTGTATTGACCATTACACAAACACACCAGTACGATGTCATGTTTATTCACTTCCATTTACAATGGATTGTATATAATATCTCACATCGAGATTTTCAAGTGTTATCTTTACAAATGTGCGTGTTTTACATATCTGGGATAGTTTTCGTCCCTTTGAGAATTCGTTTTTCATGAAAATCTCACGTTTGTTTCCACTATTCCGTGATTTGTCAATATTAAACACCACAGTACGCACAGAACAACGATTATATCGAATAAAGACACATCTTCGGTCATTGTATCCTCTCATCTTATCAAATTTTACTTTGACACCTATGCACATGGACTATGTAGAACAGCTTAATTCTTCCGTGTTCGAATATCCGACTACCTAACCTTAGTTGGCTTATGATTGAATATATAGAACATTTCACAAGAGATAGGTCGTGTTTAAATTGTTCAATAGTGAAAGAAACTATTATCTCCACCTTTCTTCTTTGTCGAAAAATGTGTTTTTCGTGCGTAATTAGTTCATTGATTTGTTGACTATATTGATCAAGGCAAAGAGTGAAATTTGATAGACATCAAACATATTTTGTGGACTGATCGAATGAAACTATGATTCCTTATCAATCGCGTCCCTATCTACGAAAATTAATCCCTTGGGAACGGGAGTCATCAGTATGTTCCACTGTCATCCATAATACTTCTAGACTTTCTTTCAATATCTGAATGAATAAATATACTTTTTCCAGATTTCATAACAGTGATCTCGTCCTCGGGGGGTTAACCATATACATAAACAGATAAAACTGGCGTTGGAATTAATTCAAATATTTCTCAATTTTAAACCTATTTTCTTTAATTCATATACTAAGTACTTCAAAACCGAATTTCATCAGTTGTTATCGATATTGTGCAATGTGAAAATTAGTTTGTAGCAAACGATGAGAATGTAGATATGTTTGCACTTATTATAACTAAAATTTCTAAATTGCAAGATTTGTATTTCAGTCCATCTATACTTCAATACCAGCGATTATCATTTCGACTTTGTCCTTCAACATTTCCCAGTTCTATTCGATTAGAATTGTGTGTTAGCGTAAAGATTTTTACCCATTATCTTTCTTTACTTGATGACCGTTTCGAACAACTCCGAACATTCTTGTCAATATTAATTTCATTTCTCATTCATGGACACCAATTTATACCTAAACTACATGGAAATGATAGACTTATTTTTTATTTCAGAAAAAATTACCTAGTCTAAAACATTTTCTCTTGCGGTACATCGAATGGTAAATCTCGCTGAACTTGATTGATGCGCTGCAGTATATCAAAAGAAAAAAGATTGATTGATGGTTATGATATAAAACAAAATATTATTTTTAACATAAGCTCAACTGCATATCTCGACAGTCAGATTTCTTTTTCTTGGAATGAAGATGTTCGATTTTCATTTAGAGAGTTTCATAATTATAAAAATATTTCTTCAGTTGATTATTTTTCAAATCGTGTTCATTCGCTTTCGTATCATTTGAAATATTACAATGGTATTAGAAATAGTTTGCCAAATGGAGTTTTGAGAAATGTTCCTGAAGTCTCATTATTTGATGAAAGCCCGTTTGAACATGAATTAATTCTTCGAATTGCTAAATCATTTCTATTGATGGAAACATTAATTATAATCAATAGCCAATCACAAAAGGACAAATGTGTTCCGGTATCAAACGACGATGATCAACGTTTATCACTCGTTCAATATCCTCGTCGTACTGAACTTATTCTTGATGATGCTCATGATGATTATATCGAACAATTTCTATCAAATGTCAAAGTGCGTTTAATAACAAAACGCAATCTGAATGTCGATTACAAAAGTTTAAATGCAGCAACACATCATTTTTCAAGGGACGTAATACGCGTCAAAAAGTGATTGTGATATACTGATAAAGAATATAGGAGAAGCATTTAATGTTATATGTTATTGCTTGAGAGTGGACGATTCCATGCGAGGAAAGGAATTGACGAATGTTACGCTCTTTTCCATTCACCTTATGACTATGTGAGACCTTTCGATACTGATAATTAACTCTTTTTAATCCTAATCCGATACGTGTATAAGGTCAGAATAAGAATTAAACATGAGGATATCGATCATTTATTATCATTAGTTTTTATTCGCTGAATGTCAATAAATAAAACAGGCACTTTTCCCATTAATGAAAAACGAGTTTTCTTAAACTGCACTCCGTTGATGATCACTTCGGATACTTTTATCAAACATGCTGGGTATTATATAAGGAGTTTCATGGAGACGACCTCTATTTTGCCTTTGTCTCCTTTGTTGACGTTTGCTAGATAATCTATGGGATTCAATCGTTGACATTGATGTTCGTCGTTTTCGCTTTTTCTTTGAGTTTCTCTCCACATCAGTTAGAGTTGGTTTATGTCGATGTCGATGTCGACAACGAACAATAGCTCGAAGAAGCGGCGTACCAATTAGTTTGATCAAAAGAAAAGCCATAGCAAATAATTCAATGATTAACGTACAGAATAGCAACGTGTGAAAAGAGAGTTCTGCAACTCGAACGATTGGTCTTTGATTATTTTGTAGAAAAAAAGGTTGTTCATTCACAGTGATTGCTAAAGTTGTTCGTTCGCTGACATATCGAAGATATTCGCCATCTTGTTCATAAGCTAATCTATCTGAGATCGAATATTCACCGAACGTCGGTGTCCACCGACCAGTAAAGTATGTATCGTGACCAATGGTTAATGGTTTTGTTTGGTTAACAACTTTCACAAGTACAACCGAAAGAGTCGATGTTCGTGCTAAAGTTTCATTTTGTGTGTAGAAAAATTGACACGTATCAAGTTTTTCAAGTGTATTTACATCGTTTACATCACCAGGAGCACGTAAACATAAACGAACACCACCAACAAAATACGAACCAGTGATGTTAATTTGTACAGTTGTTTGATGAGATGGAAGAAGAAAAGTTGTTGAAGTTGTCACATTATCTGGTTGAATTTGACATGAAATATTGGTTAGACGAAGATAGTTCACTCCTGGTCGATTTTGTTGAACAGTCAAATTTTGACAGGTAGCTGCTGTATTAATCAAATCTAATGTCATCGTAAGTGGTTGATTATCTAACATATCAAAGATCGGCCATCGTGTTCCATCAACATTTGGCAAAGGTAATTGAAGAGCATTATCAAAGACAGCATTTCTCAGTGTTGAATCACACGATGCACGTGGCGATGATGACGTTTCAATCGGATAAAGTTTAAGATAATCATCAGCAAACCAAAAGGCAAAACCAAACAAGACAACAATCGCAAATGAGAATAATCCACCGATCCATCGTTCACCTTCACCGACGATATCCGTGTTTTTCAAGAACTTCTTCGCCTTGTTTCGTTGTTGTTTCAATAACTGACAAGGTGCGACTTTCCCAATAGTCATTAGAAACCAAGTAATACAACAAAGTGTCATGACGATCAATGTCCAAAACAAAGGCGAAATGAGTAAACATTGTGTGTTAATCGCGAAGATATTCTGAACAAGTAAATCATCATAATTATTCATATCTGGTGAATCGGGATACGTATAAGTTTGAGTGTAACTCGAATAGTTGTTATAAAATACATCAGTGATCGAACCTAATGGACAGAATGTATTCGATGAACAGGGAAGACATTGTGTACATGGTTGATATGCTGGATTTTTCGTTTGTGGTGGACAAGCTTGGCATAATCCAAAGCCACTTTCTTTTTTGTATTTACCAGGCGAACATGGTGAAGGATCAAAAATAAATGTAAACATATCGCTTGTTTCAGTCCATACTGATAAATAGCCTGGTGGTTGTGATGGAACGAAAATAACTGCAGTCCAATCAGTTAGAATAAACAAATTCTTCGACCATGAAAGAATCTGATAAAAACTTGGTGCGACATACACTGCCAACGTTTGTTGATTATTTGGAAAAACATATTGAGGAATTGTGAATGGACTATCAACAGGAAATGTCCAAACTTCTGATTTAGACCAAGAATGAGCGTTCGCAGATAGAACATCGATCGCAACTGTTTCATTATCAATCCAAGCAACAGATTGACCAAAGCCGCTATTCGATGGTCCGACATCAATACGTACACGTTGCACCGTCCATTCACTCGTATTAATGCTTGTTGCATTAATACTGAATAAACTGACAATGGTGGCTAGCGGTAAACCAGCAATAGCCATTTGTCGTTCTTTATTCACAGATATGGACAGGTGGCTAGCAAGATTATATGTTTTTGCCAATGAAGTAGTTTGAACGAATTCATCGTGCAAACTTGCGCTGCCAAGAAATTGGAGCGGATTTAATGAGCAAAGAAGTACAACTGCTGCTGCGAAATTTGTAACGAATGGTGTAGCAGCATATGCCGCAATTAGAGCCCAATCTTCTGTTAGATCCATTGCATGCGGATACTTTCCTGGAATTAGATAAAAGTTTTGTGATGCTTTCAATTCAACGATACGATTTTGGGTAATATCAAATTTCAAAACAAACGAATCAGCGAATGTATATGCATATCTTTGTGATGGAGATACTTTTAACAACATAAATTCTTGATGTGTACCATTCCATATCAATGTATCACGAATGGTAATGTTTCCGATCGTCATATTATCTAAAATAANGTTCATATCTGGTGCATCCGGATATGCATAAGTTTGAGTGTAACTCGAATAGTTGCTATAGAAGACATCGGTGATGGAACCTAATGGACAGAATGTATTCGATGAACAGGGAAGACATTGTGTACATGGTTGATAGGCTGGATTTTTCGTTTGTGGTGGACAAGCCTGGCATAATCCAAAGCCACTTTCTTTCTTATATTTACCAGGAGAACATGGCGAAGGATCAAAAATAAATGTAAACATATCGCTTGTTTCAGTCCATACTGATAAATAGCCTGGTGGTTGTGATGGAACGAAAATAACTGCAGTCCAATCAGTTAGAATAAACAAATTCATGGACCATGAAAGAATCTGATAAAAACTTGGTGCTACAGACACTGCCAACGTTTGTTGATTATTCGGGAAAACATATTGAGGAATCGTGAATGGACTATCAACGGCAAATGTCCAAACTTCTGACAGAGACCAAGAGTGAGCATTGACAGATAAAACACCGATAGCAACTGTTTCGTTATCAACCCAGGCAACAGATTGACCAAAGCCAGTATTCGATGGTCCGACATCAATACGTACACGTTGCACCGTCCATTCACTCGGATTAACGCTTGTTGCATTAATACTGAATAAACTGACAACGGTGGCTAGCGGTAAACCAGCAATAGCCATTTGTCGTTCTTTATTTACAGATATGGACAGTTGGCTAGCAAGATTATATGTTTTTGCCAATGAAGTAGTTTGAACGAATTTATCGTGCAAACTTGCGCTGCCAAGAAATTGGAGCGGATTTAATGAGCAAAGAAGTACAACAGCTGCAGCGAAATTTGTAATGAACGGTATAGTATCATATGCAGCAATTAGAGCCCAATCTTCTGTTAAATCCATTGCATGTGGATATTTTCCTGGAATTGGGTAAAAGCTTTGTGATGCTTTCAATTCAACGATACGATTTTGTGTAATGTCAAATTTCAAAACAAACGAATCAGCAAATGCGTATGCATATCTTTGCGATGGAGATACTTTTAACAACATAAATTCTTGATGTGTACCATTCCATATCAATGTATCACGAATGGTAATGTTTCCGATCGTGAGATTATCTGAAATAATCATAGAACTTCATCGATCGTCGCATGGTCTGATAAACTTACTGCATGATGATGTATCAATTGTAACGATACTGAAATAGACATTTTGTGTTGATGTTTGTTCAGCTATTTGTACAAATGTAGCTGTATGATTATTCGAACTGTATACAACATCTACACTATAAACGTAGAAATCTCGACTTGCATTCGAATATGAACATCGATCACTTGGTGTAAGTGGTGCATAAGCTATAGTAAAACCATTGCCAATATTAATCGCAAAGATAATAAATTGATCGTTTCCAGCTATTCGTACACCATGGGCATTATCATCACTAGTATCATAGACAATTTGGCATGAAATCGATGAAAGAACGACGGAAAGAAGAAGAAATTTCTCGAACATATTGCTTATGAAAGAAAAAGTACCGATTAAAAGTTGCTTTTATATCGACGACACTAAGTCAATCGATCGTTTCGTAACATCGTATGTCCTCCCAAGTTACTTTCACTGTATTTATATTAAAGAAACCGTTTAGGCTATTTACATAAGTACTTAGTCCGTTCTTTTATATTTATGCAAAACAATTTGTTGATTCAATTATTCATAGATTTATACAAAAGCCTATCCAAACGTAAAATGTAATATTTTCGTTTGACAATATGGGTAAGATTTGTGTTGATTTTGTTTTATTCGTTGATTTGTATCAAGATGACAAGTATATCGTTGTTGAGTGCTGAATCGGTCATTTAACGATTCTAATAAGACTTCTGCCCAAAGTTTAGCAATAGTATAGATTTTATTTTGAAAAACGCCACAACTAATTGGTCGCAAAATCAAATAAGTATCTTTTCCGTTCTTTTCACTATTCGCTTGTGCAGCAAAAACAATCGTTTGAAATTTCTTTTGAGTATTTTCTTCAGTCTCCTCATTCGAATCTGGCACTTGATATAAACCTTGCTTTCTCTCTCGTCAAATCACAGTAGAAAGATTTCGGCATTCGTTACAATGGTCTCGCATATTGATTATAATGAACATTCTGTACAAATCATGATTAGTGAAGAAGGTTTAGCCGATCCACGTGCTGAAAGTCGCATAGAACGAAATGGCGTCATTATCGATACGTGTGTTCATCCCACGTATAAAGATCTGCTGAAAGATTATGTTTGCACAGCACACACCTTATGATTCGTAAGAAACAGGTTCAATGCATCCTGATCGTCAAGAAACAAGACAACCAACAAGTAAAGACACGAAAAAGGCAGCAAAGAAAATGGATCAAACTGCAGCACCCAAAAAATAGTTTAGTTCCAGTCAATGATCATTGTCTTATACGTTATAATTACTCAGACATATAATATATTCAGTTTATCGCTGTGTATATAAAAAAACGCAATTTCAGTTCTCACTTTCCTGAATTGAATCATTTTTTTTGATCGAATATCTTTTTATGATGAGATTATCGTTCGGTAGGAAAGGCGGACGAATGTATATTGATGCACACATACCGGAAAAGGAAATATTGCATTTAGATATGAAGCGATTGATACACTCATTCAATATTCATCTAATCAAACTTACTTTTTCTATTTACATTATGAAGACAAATATCCAACGATGTAGACTCATTACTACCATGAAAATAATGCAGAACATTCACATTTTCATCAATTGAACAATAAATTGATGAGATCTTGCACATGCTAAAACATCCACTTGAGAATATTTTGTTCATGATATGAGAAGGTTAATTCTATGTGAATGTGAAGATCGATCATCAACGATGACCAACCTTCAAATTGCATCATATCAAAATGTTCTCATTAGTCTTCAGTCTCTTCAACATAATATCACTCGTCTAAAGACAATCTTCTCATCATACAAAACGCAATCCCATATTCGTTTATCACGAATCGACACAATCAATAGTTTTTCGTTATACGACATTTCAACTTTGACACAATGACAAAATAGGCTCAGCAATTATTTCAAATTTATCAAGAGAGTGACATGTGTAATCTGAGCATTCCAATTCGCAGCATTCGTTACTTCTATCCTTCATTTAACAGTCCCACTTGTTTCTATCCGATATAAGTTCTCGAAGACTCCATACCGACTATAAAATGAACTGACCAATTACGTTGCTCAATTCAACTTCAAGCCAATGATTTCCTCTCTCTCTCTGTTTCACTCCTATGAAAGTTCGAATAGGATCGATTCCATCGTCTGTGAGTATCTTGACTGTGATTAGAGTGCAAAATATAGGCAAAACAAAAAAAACATTGTCGAGACGGACGGTCGAGTGCACACCTTTATGATGCGATTTCTGGAAAGAAAAGCATATTTACAGATATATATGAAGATACATCCTGTATCTATCACATTTCCGCTTCAACAACTATGGAAAGTGGCACTACTCAAATTCTAAGTTTGCCTAATGAAGTATTATATCTCGTTCTGAAAAAACTCAACAATGTCAATGTACTATGCTCACTTGTTGGAATTCATGACAGACTCGACAGACTTGCATATGATGTGAACTTTACTCAAACCATTAATCTAACTACGGTGTCACCAAATGGCTCACACAAATCACTAGCGGACGATATTGTGCATCGATTTTGCTCAGTAATTTTACCTCAGATATGTGTTAACGTAAAATCTTTAATTGTTCAAGCAAAAATATTCGAAGACGTCCTTCGCACAAAGAACTGTCCCAACTTACAAATGCTGACTCTTCACAATCTGCAACATAAAGTGGCTGCTCGGATTTTTACTAGTATGTTTAAGAGTTACCTTTTCCGATACATATTATTAAGGATATTTTTAGAAAACTCGTCGTTTGTTCGATATTATAAACATCAAATCACGCGGTTAGTGATAACGATAAGCGATAGATTCGGAATGAGATCAGTAGAAACCATTATATGTCGAACCTATGTTGCTATTATTATGTGGTTTTCAAGGCTACGTCATTTAAGTGTGGACGGTGGTGATGGCAGTTACTATTCACGAAGATTACTTCGTGGTTTATCACCTTCAAGATGTTATTCTTCTGGCATTGTTTACTTATCGATCGATATAAAAGATCTGGATGACTGTCTGTGCTTACTTGATGGTCGTCTTAGTCAATTGGAAACATTACTGGTGAAAATTCATCAAGTTCGTTATTCAAGGATTACAATTAATAATGAGGTAAGGATTAGATTGAAATAGGAGAATCGGGATCATCTAAAATAGAGAGAGGAAGCCAACTTTTCACTATTAATGCAAAGAAAGCAATGTTACAATTGCTTGTCTAATTAGCGTTGCTTTCGCGTAGTTATTGAAAGTATTGAAAAGGACAATGATGGTCACTTTTTCTTCCGAGACAGTAGTCAGATGAGCTACTTTATCGAAATTTCCACCCTACTACGGTACCTGTTGTTGGTATCGAAATGACATAAAACAGATATACTTTTGGGTACCAATTTTGCTTTTGAATTTGAACAGTACAGATGAGGATGAAGAGAAAATCTGATCTTTTCATGAAAGGGCTATGTGAACATAATTGGAGTGTTTTTGAGCATATAATTATCGGCAGATGCTAAGTAATGAATTCATGAATGAAATATTGACTGATTGTATCAATGTAATAGTCAATCTTGCTAAATATCTCGGAAGTAATAATCAAAGTGCATATATCTTTATCTGTTTAGAGTACTCTACTGAAATTGAAATGCTTTTCAATGAAAATATGTCGTCCAACTCTTGATTTTCACGATAAAGTTGTACCAATTCTTCGTCGAATGTCAAATCTAGAAAAGTTAACATTGTGTTGTCGTGTTCGTCGACGAAATTCATTTATTGATGGTCATTATCTCACTAATGAAATTACTCGTCATATGGCTCGTCTTCATGAGTTTATGTTCGATATTATCAGCATCGAGTCAAGAATTTCTGCCTATCCTCTGCCATGTTCAGATGATATTCGACGAACATTTGTTGAGAATGGATATCAGGCTGATTGTTATGTTGAGTATTGTAATATTGGAATCGGACGATGTCACATTTATTCGCTTCCGTTTACAATGGATCGTATACAATGCATTACATCGAGATTTACCGGTGGAATGTTTATGAATGTTCGCCTTTTACGCTTCGCGGATTTTGATCACTCGTTTGAAAATGCGTTTTTCGCTCTAATCGCACGTTCTTTCCCATCGCTACGTGTCTTATCATTGTCGAATACGGTAAAACAAATACGAAAACCATTCTACAGAGCAAAGAAAAGCAGACACACATGTTTGGTCATTGAATTTTCTCAGCTGGCTGAACTTTCCTTCGTGACTGTGCATATCGACTACGTCGAGCAGCTGCTGTCTTGCTTCAATACTCGATTACCCCGTCTTGATGTACTCAGAATTCAATACAAACAACTTACGACTGCTACAGAAAATTTCACAAGAGCGGACACGCGTGGGAATTGTTCAAACATCAAACATCTTTCTTTCAGAGATAGAACGCCTCGTGTACATTCAAGAGACTTTTATCTTCATTTTCCTTCTCTCTAGAAAATGTTTTGTTCGTGTATAATTACCTGTTCGATTTGTGTAATCATTTGCAATATTTGCTTGAAAGTGATTATTTCACTGATCTTCGTGCAATAAAAAAATGGTATTGAAGATAATATTCATTCAGCGAATCAATTTCTCCTTAATCGACCGTCACTGATCACATTCTGAATAGAGAGAAAAAGAGAAGCGACAGAATATGTTATACACCTTGTAGAACACAGAATTGATCATACGAATTAACAGTGAAAATGAATTTCCGATGAAAAATTGCTCATATATTGATATATGCTTCGCTAGAAAAGATCAGTCATTTTTCATGAAAAACAATCAGGCGATAGTGGCGGAGTAGCTGCCTAATTCGACTTATAATATAAGTGACGAATTCCTAATACACTCCTACACATACTTAGGAATAGGTGTCGATAGACTTATCACTGCCTATTCACCCATGCCAGTTTAGGAATAGATTTTGTTATACATAGTCTCAGGTATACTCTCAGCCGAGCTATATGTCAGCCTATGTCCATCGGTATACACAGGTATAACTAAATCTATCCCTATCTATTCCTAAACGTGTAAGATTATATAGATATACATCTATTTATATTCGAACTGAGATTAGTCTATCAGATGTCCATTTATAATATAAGTCGAGTTAGGCAACTCATGAAATTTTTTGGCTAGGAATTTGGAAAAAGCGTCTTGAAAGTAGGCATTTCCCAGCGAAAAGGTGCTTATTGGCCCCCTCCTGAAAATTGTGGTCTAGGCCGCCAATGCAACGCAGCGATATACAAATTTCGATAGAAGGAGAACGAAACGATTCGAACACGAAAAGAAAGGAAGAGAAAATAAAATAAAAGAAAATAATGAATGGATAAGTGTGCAAATTTCATTTCTGTAAACAGGGTTTATGAACCAAGGACTTATTAATACAATCGTGAACCATAATAACAAAATCAAGAACATTGAAAACAAAGTAAACCTGATAATAAACAACTATGCGAATTCCAGTCATGTGAAGGAGATAGCGGACAAATAGAAGGAAATACAAAAACATGTTTATGGTTCACCAATGCCGCATCGTTCTTGGAGAGATCTACTGCTTCTACTACTATGTGGGGTAATGCTTGTTGTCGTCGTAATCTGGGGATTACAGAAGTATGGATCAGCGTGGATTATAGGGGACGTATCTAAAAAGGTGCAGACCCTGGATAATGATGTTACCAAACACAGAGTGCCAATTACATCAATAAACCAAGATACAGATGGGAAGATAAAAGAACAGATGATGAACGTGCAGCATCAGTTAATGCAATAAAGCAAAGCGTTCGAAAATTTTAGGAAAACATTCAACATAGATATGGTCAAGGAGGTAGCACCTCGACGGGAAGCTCTCACCACAATTAGCGGAACCGATTAAGCTTGGAACTGTCTGGGGTGAGGGTTGGTACATGAACTCTGCTTGAGCTTTTACTTTATTTCCCAGCATAATGCGAAAATCCGGGCCTTTTCTTTTCTGTCTGCTTACTGCGGCTTAGAGGGTTCTCCCTCTCTGTCTCTCTATCTTATTTGCTTCGTTTTTTGTTTTCATTGGTTCTTCTAGGTGCATCTATATTGCACTTTTTCATCTTTGCCTGTGTGTGGGTAATTTTTTAAATATTTTATATTTCGATATCTTTTGGATTGCTCAAAGTTAATTTCTAATGGTCCCTTTAGGACCGTACGGTCAGAGGTTGTCCTGCTCGATAAAAAAAACAGGATTTATGAAAGATTTTTAATAAAGGAAATGTGGGAAAATTTAATAGTTCTTTGCTTTACAGAACGAAAATGTCAGGCGGAATCCAACGATCCAAATTAATGGATGTTATTTATCAAAAAGGAAACCATTTCCTTTGTTTGCAAACCTGCAAATTGCGTTTTCTTTCATCGAACAGGTAAGAAATCACCCTTTCAGTCGCTAATATAAGTTTCATCTCTGATTCTTAGTGCAAAGATTATCGCAAAAGAATTTGTAAATTCGACAATAAGATCCATGAACGTCAAATGTTGAAAACGCGTGCAGCAAGTGATACTCCTGCAAAGAAATCTAAATTCCTGGAAACGGAAATGCATTGGAATCCGACTGAAAAAATCCCGTCGGTTGTTGCAAATTTTACGAGCGACCTTTTTAGCTATGTTCTATGATGACCCTTAGAAAATCCGGGAAATTCATGTTTCGGATCCGTCGAATTCCTGTAGGATCTGGTGAAATCCTATACTGGATCCGAGTATGGGATTGTTCGACCTGGGTTGATGATCGCGGTACATTGGAACAACAATTGGCATACCTTTGACCACATTATCGTAAGTTCTCTATAGCGTATTCAGAGAAAGCATTGGGATGTCTTTTGAGTAATAGGTCAATCGGTGCAATACATAAATCATAGTCGAAGTCGATCGATCTGATTCGATGAAGAATCGTGAATCGATTAACAAAATCAATCAGAAGAAAGAAAAAAACAATGTAAACCGATGTTTTTTTTCTCACTTGTCCAAAAAGAAAATCGAAAGATCGCCATGTGATTTCTTTTCCTTTATTTTTATTTCAGATAAAAGAAATGTTCGCTCGAAAACACTTTTTCCATCTTATTCCATGTCGATCGTTTTCCGTTGAATCTCGAAGCAACTCACACATACAATCCAATTAATCAAAGAGAATTAAATTTAATTGACATGCATTTGGGTCATGTGGGAAGATACATCAGAGAAGGAATCTTTCCTTCAATTGATGTAGCCATTGTTGAAGCTTGCGATGTGGCATCCGATGGAAGAATTTATCTAACGAATTCAAGTGGAATGAGTGGAACGTATCTCAGTTTAGCAAAGGATATCTACATTGAATTGAATGAAGCACATCCATTAGATATGAAAGGACTTCATGATATTTATCTGCCTGAATTACATACTGGAAGACCAATTAATATTGATTATGTTGATGATCGAATTGGTAAGTAATTCAGACGGTTAATTTCTTCACTTTATTGATCATTTTCTTAGGTACACCGTATGTTCGTGTGAATCCTGAACGGACCAAAGGAATCGTTCTAACGAATAAGTTTGACGAAGCAAGTTTTAAAATTGCTAATCATATTCTCGACTTTATTCTTCATGAAGTTGAACATGGAAGTGAGTTTTTTCTTTCACTCAAATCACCCACACTTCGTTTCTCTTTTTCAAGGGATTCCGAAGGGTTTACTTCCATTTCAATCCGGTGTTGGAAATGTCGCTAATGCCGTGTTAGCTTGTATAGCGAAAGATAATCGCTTCAAATCGATTGAAATGTACACCGAAGTTATTCAAGATTCGATCTTTGATCTATTAGATAGTGGAAAACTTCGTTTTGCATCAACAACTGCATTGACCTTTTCTCCCGAAGGCCAGACACGATTCTTCAAGGAACTAAATGAACTCAAATCAAAATTTATTCTACGACCAATGGAAATTTCAAACAATCCCGAGGTTATTCGTCGAATGGGCTTGATTACAATGAACACAGCACTGGAGGCTGATATCTATGGAAATGTGAATTCCACACATGTTTTAGGTTCATCGATGATGAATGGAATTGGTGGCAGTGGAGATTTTACACGGAATAAGGTAAACTCCTCTAAGCTGTTGATCTCAATCTATTCCATTTCATGTAGTATATCTCCATCGTCATGGTTGCTGGATGTGCAATCTTTAAGAGAAGCTCGTACCAATAATGATAACGGAAAAATTGAATGAATACGGCGAATAATTGTAGAAAAGTTCTATACTTGTGGATACTACCGTGTTCAACTGAACATATAATAGTACTCTAGTTTATTATGTTAATCAATTTTTGAAATGCTAGCGAAAGTCTATGCATAAACTTGAGTGTTGATTTTGTAAATAAAATATCTGTTGTATATTTTATAAATTCTGAAAAGGATCTATCTTTCTTAAGGAAGTATTCATGATGATAGTTTCCGTAATTTATTCTGTAATTATACTACACGTACGTATTTAAAACTATTTAGAGAAAAAAAAACAGAATTTTCTCTTTATCGAAGTCGATCAATTGCACACATTTCCTTAAATGGCAAATCTCATAAGTTTTCTTCTGTTCTTTCACACTTGTCTTTGAGAAGAATTTTCTCACTCATTGTGCCATATAGCTGTATGAAAGAGCAGGCAATATTGATTCAGAAAATATCAATAAATTATTCCTGTTTTTCCTATGAGTAATGCTCGTATAAATAAACGAAAGTGTCACCCACTCACCATATCAATTTCTTTGATTTCCTTATTATTAATACTATTATTTCAGCACATTTTCTAGTATGATAGACATTCTTTACGAGTGAAACATTGAAATAATGTTGTTCTGTGTTGTTTTTATTAACCTTTGCTTATTCTTTGATAAATCTGATAATCTTGACACAAAGAAGTCTTCCAATCCCGTACAACTACGGTCAGCAACAACATATCGTTCGATCCTTGTCTAACTACACATGAAGCAAGAAAATTGAGTTCAATTGTGACTTTCATTCATGCTCGTGGACCAAAAGTAGACATAAATAAGATTTATGACATGTACGATGCTATGGAGAGACAGCAAAAAGCAAAACATGTTTCAGACTGTCAATATTCTGATAATATTTTCTACAAAGACTTTCTCATTTATTCAAACTGACTTTTGCTTAAAACTTACGCTATTCACCATTATAAACGCCGTACATTGACTTTTCCATTTTTATCTAAAAATCGTCATATGAATAGATTGTTTATAGCATAATCCGTTTCAACGTTTTGTAATTCATGAGATATTGAGAAGTTTAGTTACATATAATTCCTTATTATGAAACGGTAATTATATATTTAGAAATCTATCTCAAGTCGACAGAGAATTTCGATGTTTCTTAGTTTAAGAATAATTGTTCTTTAAAATAAAGAGATTTTCTTCAATTACTATTTTATAATGGGATGACGGAGAAAAGAGTGTTAGAGTGAGTAGAGAATAAACAAGTAAATCGCTTTTATTTCCGTTTTCTATAGCGTCGTTTTGATAAACAAGTAAAACAAATAGTCAGTATAAACATTGAATGAGTAGTATGTAAATTATCTAATTGTTCCTTATAGAATAGAAACATAACACAAAACTGCATACTGATTAAATTCTGTAGACTTTCAACTAATGGAAAATCCGGAAAAGTTTCACATGTGGCAATGTGTCCTGTGTAAAACTCCGGAAAATCATATTGCTCACTTCCGAATGGATAGAGCACTAGTAGATGGATTTTGTTGTATGTTCGCTTTGTAAAACAGATTTCCTCGTATCCTGCATACTTCATGAATTCCGAACTCATAAACTTTAATCAGTATGAATTTCTCGATAGTAGGGACTTTACTTTGTGGAAAATTTACATATTGACTATTCTGTGTATTTTATTCACCACTTATGGCACGTAATCTCTTCCAAAAACTATACGCAGTATAGCCTGAATATCTATTAGTCTTCTTTTAGGATTATTACTTATCGTTCTTATATTATGGTTCCTATGCTTATGTTGTGAAACATTTGGTAAGAAAATTAGTAGACATCGATAGTATTCGCCGGAATCACACAGCTTTGCCATCCAGTTATTTACCAAATCATTCACAGACGAGACAACAACGAATAGAAGTATGTATTTAATTGGTTTTAGTCGACTTTGATTAGTAAAGAATTCGAAAGGTCAGTAAGAAAAGTATAATTACAAGTAAAAGAAACTGATCGAATCAGAGATGCACCATGACTTTTGTTTTCGCCAATTTTGGTATTCTTAGCAATAGATGATGCTCTAGAGTAGATTGATCTAATCGTCATACCAACAGTATGTTCACGCATAAATTTTTTGAAAAACACTGGATAATAATAAAGATCATCAGACCATTATATTTTACCTTTTGGTAACGTAACATTCCAAATATAAAATGCATTTAATTTATGTCGATCAAAAGAATACTATTTCGTTTTCTTTGTTACATCAATCGTGGTATTTGCAGTTTTTGTTTCATCTCTATCAAGTATATAGCATCGAATTAAGTCACGTCGAATGCTGTCGAACGAATAGTGTTATTTCGATGAATCCACTGATTTAGTTACAGAATCTTTAAGTTTAATATTGTGCAAATTATCAATTTATTGAATAGACAACTATTCAGCTGAGTGAACACAATAACTACCGATCATTCAATTCTATTCCAGTAGTTTATATATAATACTGATAAGATTCTATTGATTATTTCTTTTGTAGCCACTCCCAAACAACTTGAATTTACAAACTTCAGTGAACAATACATCCGTAACAAATACAATAAACTCAACACAATACCAATTTTCAGAAGACTACAATCTTAGTATCAGTAGAACACCGCCTGCGTACAAAGACGTAATACAACAAAATTCAATAAGAATTACAGTTGAAAAATGAATCTTCACCATCAACAAGCTGTCGTGAGTTTATTCGTATAATCATAGCAAATAAATATTTATATGAAATATATCAAACTCACAACGTCCGTTTGACATTATCCTTTATTAGATAAACTTAAAATGCAGTTCGTTGATGATTATTTCGAATCGATTCATGAGACCTGTTGGAAATTGTATAAGGAGTGTCATGCAGAAGAGTTCGATTTTGTCGTTGTTTTTTTCGTTGATATTGTTGGAAAAATCGACGAAGTTCGATGATTGACATTGATGGTCGTTGTTTTCGCTTTTCTGTTGAGTTTCTCTCCACATCAGTTAGAGTTGATTTATGTCGACGTCGATGTCGACAACGAAGAATAGCTCGAAGAAGCGGCGTACCAATTAGTTTGATCAAAAGAAAAGCCATAGCAAATAATTCAATGATTAACGTACAGAACAGCAACGTGNTTGCTTATGAAAGAAAAAGTACCGATTAAAAGTTGATTTTATATCGACGACACTAAGTCAATCGATCGTTCGTGACATTGCACGCCTCCTCCAGTTACTTTCACTGTATTTATATTAAAAAAACCGTTTAGGCTATTTACGTAAGTACTTAGTCCGTTCTTTTATATTTAAGCAAAACAATTTGTTGATTCAATTACTCATAGATTTATACAAAAGCCTATTCAAACGTAAAATGTAATATTTTCGTTCGACAATATCGATAAGATTTCTGTTGATTTTATTTTATTCGTTGATTTGTATCAAGATGACAAGCTTCTTCAGAAACTTTCAACTTCTGTGGTCTGTTCCACTAAGAAACCAAATATGTTGACAAGCATGCCGTTGTTGAGTGTTGAATCGGTCATTTAACGATTCCGATAAGACTTCTGTCCGAAGTTTAGCAATAGTATGGATTTTATTTTGAAAAACACCACAACCAATTGGTCCCAAAATCAAATAAATATCTTTTCCGTCCTTTTCACTATTCGCTTGTGCAACAAAAATAATCGTTTGAAATTTCTTTCGAGTATTTTCTTCTGCCTCCTCATTTGAATCTGGCACTTGATATAAACCTTGCTCTCTCTCGTCAAATCATAGTAGAAAGATTTCGGCATTCGTACCAAGGGTCTCGCATGTTGATTATAATGAACATTCTGTAGAAATCATGATTAGTGAACAAGGTTTAGCCGATCTACGTGCTGAGAGTTGCAGAGAACGAAATGGCGTCATTATCGATAGATATGTTCATGCCACGTATAAAGATCTGCTGAAAGATTATGTTTGCACAGCACACAATGTATGATTCGTAAGGAGCACTTTCATGGCGCATTCGTTTGTAAGAAACAGGTTCAATGCATCCTAATCATCAAGAAAAGAAACAACCAACAAGTAAAGACATAGAAACTGGAGCAAACTGCCGCGCCCAAAAAATAGTTTAGTTTCAGTGAATGATCATTGTTTTAGACGTTATAATTACTTAGACATATAATGTATTCACTTTATCGCTGTGTGCATAAAAAAGCACAATTTCGGTTCTCACTTTGCTCAATTGAATCATTTGTTTTTATCGAATATCGTTTGATGATGAGATTATCATTGGGTAGGAAAGGCGGACGAGTGTATATTGGTACACACATACCGGAAAAGGAAATATTGCATTTAGATATGGAGCGATTGATACACTCATTCAATATTCATCTAATCAAACTTACTTTTTCTATTTACATTATTAAGACATATATCCAACGATGTAGACTCATTGCTACCATGAAAATAATGCAGACCATTCACATTTTCATCAATCGAACAATAAATTGATGAAATCTTGCACATGCTAAAACATTCACTTGAGAATATTTTGTTCACGATATGAGAAGATTAATTCTATGTGAATGTGAAGATCGATCATCAACGATGACCAGCCTTCAAATTTGATCATATCAAAATTTTCTCATTAGTCTTCAGTCTCTTCAACATAACATCACTCATCTAAAGACAATCTTCTCATCATACAAAACGCAATGTCATATTCGTTTATCACGAATCGACACAATCAAAAGCTTTTCGTTATACAACATTTCAACTTTGACACAATGACAAAATAGGCTCAGCGATTATTTCAAATTTATCAAGAGAGTGACATGTCTAATCTGAGCATTCCAATTCGCAGCATTCGTTACTTCCATTCTTCATTTAACAGTCCCACTTGTTTCTATCCAATATAACTTCTCGAAGATTCCACACCGACTAAAAAATGAACTGACCAATTACGTTGCTCAATTCAACTTCAAGCTAATGATTTCCTCTCTCTCTGTTTCACTCCTATGAAATTTCGAATAGGATCGATTCCATCGTCTATGAACATACTTGACTATGATTAGAGAGGAAAATATAGGCAAAACGAAAAACAACATTGTCGGAACAGACGGTCGAGTGCACACCTTTATAATGCGCTTTGTGGAAAGAAAAGCATATTTACAGATATATATGAAGATACATTCTGTATCTATCACGTTTCCACTTCAACGACTATGGATAGTGGCACTACTCAAATTCTAAATTTGCCTGATGAAGTATTATATCTCGTTCTGAAGAAACTCAACAATGTTAATGTACTATGCTCACTTGTTGGAATTCATGACAGACTTGACAGACTTGCATATGATGTGAATTTTACTCAAACTATTAATCTAACTACGGTGTCACCAAATGGCTCACACAAATCACTAGCGGACGATATTGTGCATCGATTTTGCTCAGTAATTTTACCTCGGATTTGTGTTAACGTAAAATCTTTAATTGTTCAAGCAAAAATATTCGAAGACGTCCTTCGCACAAAGAACTATCCCAACTTACAAATGCTGACTCTTCACAATCTGCAACATAAAGTGGCTGCTCGGATTTTTACTAGTATGTTTAAGAGTTACCTTTTCCGATACATATTATTAAGGATATTTTTAGAAAACTCGTCGTTTGTTCGATATTATAAACATCAAATCACGCGGTTAGTGATAACGATAAACGATAGATTCGGAATGAGATCAGTAGAAACCATTATATGTCGAACCTATGTTGCTATTATTATGTGGTTTTCAAGGCTACGCCATTTAAGTGTGGACGGTGGTGATGGCAGTTACTATTCACGAAGATTACTTCGTGGTTTATCACCTTCAAGATGTTATTCTTCTGGCATTGTTTTCTTATCGATCGATATAAAAGATCTGGATGACTGTCTGTGCTTACTTGATGGTCGTCTTAGTCAATTGGAAACATTACTGGTGAAAATTCATCAAGTTCGTTATTCAAGGATTATAATTAATAATGAGGTAAGGATTAGATTGAAATAAGAGAATCGGGATCATCTAAAATAGAAAGAGGAGGCCAACTTTTCACTATTAATGCAAAGAAAGCAATGTTACAATTGCTTGTCTAACTGGCGTCGCTTTCGCTGAATTATCGAAAGTATTAAAAAGGGGAATGATGGTCGGATTTTCTTCCGAGACAGTAGTTAGATGAGCTACACTATCGAAATTTCCACCCTACTACGGTACCTGTTGTTGGTATTGAAATGACATAAAACAGATATACTTTTGGGTACCAATTTCGTTTTTTTTAATTCGAATAGTACAGATGAGAATGAAGAGGAAATATGAATATTTCATGAAAGGGCTATGTGAACATAATTGGAGTGTTTTTGAGCGTATAGTTATCGGCAGATGCTAAGTAATGAATTCATGAATGGAATATTGACTGATTGTATCAATTTAATAGTCAATCTTTCTAAATATCGCGGAAGTAATAATCAAAGTGCATATATCTTTATCTGTTTAGAGTACTCTACTGAAATTGAAATGCTTTTCAATGAAAATATGTCGTCCAACTCTTGATTTTCACGATAAAGTTGTGCCAATTCTTCGTCGAATGTCAAATTTAGAAAAGTTAACATTGTGTTGTCGTATTCGTCGACAAAATTCGTTTATTGATGGTCATTATCTCACTAATGAAATTACTCGCCATATGGCTCGTCTTCATGAGTTTATGTTCGATATTATCAGCATCGAGTCAAGAATTATTGCCTATCCTCTTCCATGTTCAGATGATATTCGACGAACATTTGTTGAGAATGGATATCACGCTGATTGTTATGTTGAGTATTGTAATATTGGAATCGGACGATGTCACATTTATTCGCTTCCGTTTACAATGGATCGTATACAATGCATTACATCGAGATTTACCGGTGGAATGTTTATGAATGTCCGCTTTTTACGCCTCGCGGATTTTGATCACTCGTTTGAAAATGCGTTTTTCGCTCTAATCGCACGTTCTTTCCCGTCGCTACGTATCTTATCACTGTCGAATACGGTAAAACTAATACAAAAACCCTTCTACCGAGCAAAGAAAAGCAGATACACATGTTCGGCCATTGAATTTTCTCAGCTGGTTGAACTTTCCTTCGTGGCTGTGCATATCGACTACGTCGAACAGCTGCTGTCTTGCTTGAATACCCGATTACCCAGTCTTGATGTACTCAGAATTCAATACAATCAACTTGCGACTGCTACAGAATATTTCACAAGAGAGGACACGCGTGTGAATTGTTCGAACATCAAATATCTTCTTTTTCGAAGATGGAGTACTCCGTGTACATCCAAGAGACTTTTATCTTCATTTTCCTTCTCTCTAGAAAATGTTTTATTCGTGTATAATTAACTGTTCGATTTGTGTAATCATTTGTAATATTTGCTTGAAAGTGACTATTCCACTGATCTTTGTGCAATAAAAAATGGTATTGAAGATAATATTCATTCAGCGAATCAATTTCTCCTTAATCGACCGTCACTGATCACATTCTGAATAGAGAGGAAAAGAGTAAGCGACAGAACATGTTATACACCTTGTGGAACACAGAATTGATCATACGAACTAACAGTGAAAATGAATTTCCGATGAAAAATTGCTCATATATTGAAATATGCTTCGCTAGAAAAGATCAGTCATTTTTCATGAAAAACAATCAGGCGATAGTGGCGGAGTAGTTGCCTAATTCGACTTATAATATAAGTGACGAATTCCTAATACACTCCTACACATACTTAGGAATAGATATCGATAGATTTAGCTATACCTATTCACCCATGCCAGTTTAGGAATAGATAGGGATAGATTTTGTTATATATAGTCTCAGTTATACTCTCAGCCGACCTATATGTCAGCCTATGTCCATCGGTATACACAGGTATAATTAAATCTATCCCTATCTATTCCGAAACGTGTAGGATTATATAGATATACATCTATTTATATTCGAACTGAGATTAGTCTATCAGATGTTCATTTATAATATAAGTCGAGTTAGGCAACTCATGAAATTTTTTGGCTAGGAGTTTGGAAAAAGCGTCTTGAAAGTAGGCATTTCCCAGCGAAAAGGTGCTTATTGGCCCCCTCCTGAAAATTGTGGTCTAGACCGCCAATGCAACGCAGCGATATACAAATTTCGATAGAAGCAGAACGAAACGATTCGAACACGAAAAGAAAGGAAGAGAAAAGAAAAGAAAAGAAAATAATGAATGGATAAGTGTGCAAATTTCATTTCTGTAAACAGGGTTTATGAACCAAGCACTTATTAATACAATCGTGAACCATAATAACAAAATCAAGAATATTGAAAACAAAGTAAACCTGATAATAAAAAACTATGCGAATTTCAGTCCTGTGAAGGAGATAGTAGACAAATCGAAGGAAATAGAAAAACATGTTTATGGTTCACCAATGCCGCATCATTCTTGGAGAGATCTACTGCTTCTACTACTATGCGGAGTAATGCTTGTTGTCATCGTAATCTGGGGATTACGGAAGTATGGAGCAGCGTGGATTATAGGGGCCGTATCTAAAAAGGTGCAGACCCTGGATAATGATGTTACCAAACACAGAGTGCCAATTACATCAATAAGCCAAGATACAGATGGGAAGATGAAAGAACAGATGATGAACGTGCAGCATCAGTTAATGCAACAAAGCAAAGCGTTCGAAAATTTTAGGAAAACATTCAACATAGATATGGTCAAGGAGGTAGCACCTCGACGGGAAGCTCTCACTACAATTAGCGGAACCGATTAAGCTTGGAACTGTGTGGAATGAGGGTTGGTACATGAACTCTGCTTGAGCTTTTACTTTATTTCCCAGCATAATGCGAAAATATGGTCCTTTTTTTTTCTGTCTGCTTACTGCGGCTTAGAGGGTTCTCCCTCTCTGTCTCTCTATCTTATTTGCTTCGTTTTTTGTTTTCATCGGTTCGTCTAGGTGCATCTATATTGCACTTTTTCATCTTTGCCTGTGCGTGGGTAATTTTTTTAATATTTTATGTTTCGATATCTTTTGGATTGCTCAAAGTTAATTTCTAATGGCCCCTTTAGGACCGTACGGTCAGAGGGTGTCCTGCTCGATAAAAAACAACAGAGTTTATGAAAGATTTTTAATAAAGAAAATGTGGGAAAATTTAATATTTCTTTGCTTTATAGAACGAAAATGTCAGGGGGAATCCAACGATCCACATCAATGTATGTTATTTATCAAAAAGAAAACCCATTTCCTTTGGTTGCTAACCTGCAAATTGCGTTTTGTTTCATCGAACAGGTGAGAAATCACCCTTTCAGTCGCTAATATAAATTTCATCTCTGATTCTTAGTGCAAAGATTATCGCAAAAGAATTTGTAAATTCGACAATAAGATCCATGAACGTCAAATGTTGAAAACGCGTGCAGCAAGCGATACTCCTGCAAAAAAATCTGAAGACGTCAAAACAGTCAACGAACTTATTCCCGGATCAACAAATCCGATCGGATCTCACCGGATCCGACAAAATCCGATCGGATTCCTGGAAACGGAATTGCACTGAAATCCGACTGGAAAAATCCCGTCGGTTGTTGCAAATTGTATGAGCGATCTTTTTAGTTATGTTCTATGATGACCCTTAGAAAATCCAGGAAATTCGTGTTTCGGATCTGTCGAACTCCTGTAGGATCAGGTGAAATCCTATACTGGATCCGAGTACGGGATTGTTCGACCTGGGTTGATGATCGCGGTACATTGGAACAACAATTGGCATACCTTCGAGCACATTATCGTAAGTTCTCTATAGCGTATTCACACAAAGCATTGGGATATGTTTTGAGTAATAGGTCAATCGGTGCAATACATATATCATAGTCGAAGTCGATCGATCTGATTCGATGAAGAATCGTGAATCGATTAACAAAATCAATCAGAAGAAAGAAAAAAACAATGTAAACCGATGTTTTTTTTTCACTTGCCCAAAAAGAAAATCGAAAGATCGCCATATGATTTCTTTTCCTTTATTTTTATTTCAGATAGAAGAAATGTTCGCTCGAAAACATTTTTTCCATCTTATTCCATGTCGATCGTTTTCCGTTGAACCTCGAATCAACTCACACATACAAACTAATTAATCAAACAGAATTAAATTTAATTGACATGCATTTGAGTCATGTGGGAAGATACATCAGAGAAGAAACCTTTCCTTCAATTGATGTGATCATTGTTGAAGCTTGCGATGTGACACCTGGTGGAAGAATTTATCTAACCAATTCAAGATGGAATGAGTGGAACGTATCTCAGTTTAGCAAAGGATATCTACATTGAATTGAATGAAGCACATCCATTGGATATGAAAGGACTTCATGATATTTACCTACCTGAATTACATACTGGAAGACCAATTAACATTGATTATGTTGATGATCGAATTGGTGAGTGTTCATACAGTTGATTTCTTTACTTTATTGATCATCTTCTTAGGTACACCATATGTTCGTGTGAATCCTGAACGGATCAAAGGAATCGTTCTAACGAATAAGTTCGACTCATCCAAGGGATTCAAAGAACCTGATGAAGCAAGTTTTAAAATTGCTAATCATATTCTCGACTTTATTCTTCATGAAGTTGAACATGGAAGTGAGTTTTTTCTTTCACTCAAATCATCCACACTTCGTTTCTCTTTTTCAAGGAATTCCGAAGGGTTTACTTCCATTTCAATCCGGTGTTGGAAATGTAGCGAATGCAGTGCTAGCTTGTATAGCGAAAGATAATCGCTTCAAATCAATTGAAATGTACACCGAAGTTATTCAAGATTCGATCTTTGATCTATTAGATAGTGGAAAACTTCGGTTTGCATCAACAACTGCATTGACCTTTTCACCAGAAGGCCAAACACGATTCTTCAAGGAATTGAACGAACTCAAATCAAAATTTATTCTACGACCAATGGAAATTTCAAACAATCCCGAAGTCATTCGTCGAATGGGCTTGATTACAATGAACACAGCACTGGAAGCTGATATCTATGGAAATGTCAATTCCACACATGTTTTAGGTTCATCGATGATGAATGGAATTGGTGACAGTGGGGATTTTAAACGGAATAAGGTAAACTCCTCTAAACTGTTGATCTCAATCTATTCCATTTCATTTAGTATATCTCCATCGTCATGGTTACTGGATGTGCAATCTTTAACAGAAGCTCGTACCAATAATGATAACGGAAAAATTGAACGAATACGACGAATAATTGTAGAAAAGTTCTATGCTTGTGGATACTACCGTGTTCAACTGAACATATAATAGTACTCATGGTTTATTATGTCAATCAATTTTTGAAATGCTAGCGAAAGTCTATGTATAAACTTGAGTGTTGATTTTGTAAATAAAATATCTGTTGTATATTTGATAAATTCTGAAAAGGATCTATCTCTATTAAGGAAATATTCATGGTGATAGTTTCCGTAATTTATTCTGTAATTACAGTACACGTACGTATTTAAAACGATTTAGATAAAATGGTCTTTAGAATGTGAATATTAGAGAAAAAAAACAGAATTTTCTCTTTATCGGAGTCAATCAGTTGCACACATTTCTTTAAATGGCAAATCTCATAAGTTTTCTTCTGTTCTTTCACACTTGTCTTTGAGAAGAATTTTCTCACTTATTGTGCCATATATCTGCATGAAAGAGCAGTCAATATTGAGTCAGAAAATGTCAATATATAATTCCTGTTTCTTTCATGAGTAATGCTCGTATAAATAAACCAAAGCGTCACCCACTCACCATATCAATTTCTTTGATTTCCTTATTATCGATATTGTTATTTCAGCATGTTTTCCAGTGCGATAGACGTTCTATATAAATAAAACATTTTACATAGATTATC